CTGTATGCTCCGGCTCAAACAGGTATGGCTCTGGGTCTGTGTCCGCTACAAGAAACTCTTCAAAATCGCATTCAAAGTCGTCCATTGCAGCTATTATAGTCCGGAGATATCGCTAGGCTAAATAAACAGCTGAGCTCTGTTTACAGGCTATGCTGTCAGTCAGTGTGTGGGCTGGAGACTGAGCAGAGAGGGGAGGGGGGTCCCCACTCGGTATGGTAAACGAGTATGTGTGTAAAGTTATGGAGTGTGTGTGTTACGCTAGAAGAGTCAGAGTTTGGGACGGAGTCTTTTACCCCCTGGAGTGTTACCGGAGTTTCTGGAGTGCTCAAATAAATGGGCCTTTTTCCCGAACGCTCCTTTGGTCTCCTGCACGTGAGGGATTCATTACAATATCATAACATGGTTTAGATTTCTAAATAAACATTCACCTCGTCGCTAGATAGACCTACTCCTGAAAAACTCGTGCGCAAGGCTTTTTGTCCCTACGAGGCCACCGTCATTTACCCGACCGGAAGGGTGAGCGAGTGAGCCCTGCAGTCTAGAATTTGACCACTGATGTCACTGTTTTCAACCCATTTTACACACTGGCCCTTTAACACAGTGCTACAAGTTACAGAAGACATCTTCTCTGTGATAACTCATTTTAAATGTTGATATATTTACTCAGCAGCTGTCATTCATCTATATACAGTATATAATGAATTTGTAAGATGAGATCCTGGGAGCCCTCCTGTGTGGTGTTTGTATGATCTCACAGTGTCACCGTGGGTTTTCTCTGGATCTCCCCCCCCCCCCGCGACCCCAAACCGGATAAGCGGTTATGGAAAATGAATTTTAAACACAGAAATTGTCCGAATTTTATTTATCCTCTGTCAGGTGTAAGCCTGGAAGGGATTGTGCGTTTGGTCGTGTGTGTGCGAGTGTGCATATTTGTCTGTCCACAGCTAATCTCACATATTACTGGGGTGTAAATCACCAGTTTCATCACAACTCGATATTATTTTGATTCTTTGGACAACGATATGCTATTTACTGATATTGCAAAATGTGCCATGATTCAATTTCGATTCGATACCATTCAGGGGTCTGCGATCAATATTAGGCAATATTAAATGCTAATATTAATAATAATATTAATATTATATTGGTTTAATATTACTGAAGTACTATTCAATGCCCATTTAATGCAGTCTGTTACAGAAGACTCTGCCACCCCTTTCTTTTTTACTTTTGGCCATAAAAAATAAAAACAACACATAAATAATAAGTACAGTAAAGTTCACTTTAAACTGACTCCATTAACACAAATAAAAAAGCAAATGGCAGTAGCTCAGTCCATAGGGACTTGGGTTGGGAACTGGAGGGTCGCCTGTTCGAGTCCCCATCTGGACCAAATATGGAGCGTGGACTGGTGGCTGGAGAGGTGCCAGTTCACCTCCTGGGCACTGCCGAGGTGCCCTTGAGCAAGGCACCAAACCCCCCAACCCCCAATTCATCATAGAATTGAATTGAATATCTGGCTTAAAGCCCAAAAGGAATACTTCTCCAAACAGCCATAAAATACAGATTAACTACAAGATCATTCAACAAAAGTATAACATTCAGCTCAGTAATAACTGTCATGATGTTTGGCTAACAATGGATCGTTACACCCCTACATACTGCTGAACCAATCAGCCTACTACTTTGTATGCACTGTATTCTCAAGGACCTCTCATGGTTCTGATGATTCACACGTGGAAAAAAAAAAGTGTTTTATTGACTGTTTTATACCGTCATTGACTGCTGGCTCCTCCCTCTCTTAACCGACCTGTGTATCACTCAGAGAAAAGTAGTCCTTTTTTTTCTTTTAAAGCTTAAAGTGCCTGTAGGTGGGTTGTAACTGTGACTGTACAACATTTCAGAGGTGTTTTGGTATATGATATCACTATGATCAATTTTAGGAAATGTGTTAAATTTCTGACTTCTTGTTGTGAGAGGTGGCTGGTTGGTGGGTGTGTGTTCCAAAAGAAAGTACTGGTCATAAGTTATAAAAGTCAACATCTGGTGAAGGAGCCACTGGCTCATTGGCATTTATCAACAGCCCTATCAGCCACCTGCAGCTGTGTTAAAGTCATTTTCTGCTATGGGACAGCTCAGTAGGCCATATTGGTGTCAATGTTTCACCAGAAACCTGCTTAAACGACCCTAATAGCACTGGTTGCTACCTGCCGCTCGATTATTTAGAATGCACTAATCATCCAGCTATCAGCTCATTGAAAAATTGCATCATTGTGTGTCCTTTCATTCATGCATCATTTGGCACTAAAATGATGCAGTAAATTGCAACAGACTCAGTACCAACACATTTCTATGGAGCTTTAATTTAAGTTCACAAACGATGGTAATACCAGCAAAATTGGGACATGAAGGCTTTAAGTCACTCTCAGTAATATTTTTTCACAATCCTTGGATTGTCTGTCCCTACTCTGTGGAGGAATGACATATTTGTGATTAGATACAGACTTGTGTGCCTAATTCAAGGTGAATCTTCAATGTTACACTATGTGCACCAAGGCCAGTCAGTGTTGCAGTATGATACTCACTTCAACAGTGTTTGCAGTGAAAAAAGAGTTGTGAATGAAGAGATAATGTCAGCTCTGTTAGACACATTTGTGAATTGCAAGATGGTCAAACTCATTCACATCTATGTCAGATCCACAGATGTGGAGGTGATTGAACAAGTCTCCCTAATTTTTGTCAACAGCAAACTTTAGACAAGCAGCTGCAGTCACTCTGTTCCTCCAGACAAAGCACTGCATGGTAGTTGAAGCATGAAGTCTTAGTGAACAAAGAGAAGTTGTGTTGTCTGGGTCTGTTTTTTCTCACTTTATTCCTTACCAGTAATAATGTTTCATATAGTTGTTACTGATGAGTCTTTTTCATAGAGACAGAGGGCAACGCGTCCCAAAGGGAAACGAGGCCCGTTTCCCCTCCGCTTCTTCACTCATTCGCTGTCATTCTGTCTCCACAGCCACACCTTCAAGTCTCCACGACTGAATTGCTAGCTAAAATTATTAGCTATAGCTAGCTAATAATTAGCTAATAATATGTCAAAGGACTATTTTAGCACGCTATGCCTTCCAGAGAGGCAACGGTATATTGATAAGCTTAATATTGCTGGTCTACCTCAGTGTCCCTTCTCCTTACCTTGCTCGTCTTCGAAAAAACATGATGTGGAGATTCTTTTTTAAGAAGGTGAGCATTTCGGCACGCTCAGCCGTCAGCCTGCTCCTACTACAGGCACACGTTGTTGTTTTGAGACATGCCTCTACATGCTGGTAGATTGATAGAAGTGCTTAACATACATAAATACAGTTAACTGTTACTCTAAAAAATACATTTGGAGGGTTTGACAAAGTGTTTGCTGCACACATAGGCATACCAAGTGTCAGGATCCCACAATTTCTTCCCTGTTGAAGTGTCACATTTTATTGCCTGTATCCACTTTTGTCTTCTACAAGTTTCCGTTTTTCTGCTCAGCAG